AACTAAATACCAGTTTTGCTCAACCATTGACTCCCATTTTCTCGTACAAAACAAACCATTGTAAGATTAACTTCCATTAATTTTAGTTGAGTTGGCGTGATATAACAAACCGTTGGAGTAGACTATAATGAAAATATCCTATAAAAAATATTACTTCAAAGAGTGTACTTACAAGTTAATACGAGCTTAGTTCAGTGATAATTGACCCCTGTCATTAAGAGATCATGAGTCCGAATCTCTCAATTTTCTTTTTGTTGTACTAAACAAACGAGGAGTTTCAATCTTTTGTATTTGATTATATTGTTCACTTTTAGCTTGAATTACCTGCATGATTTTGCTTTCGGATTCTATATCCAAAAGGGTTTATTTGCTGATGGAGATGTTGTTTTTTTTTTCTCTTTTTTACAGTTCTAATTAATGGAAGATTTTGTTTGAAATCGGCACTCAATGGGATTATCAGACTCATTGAATAAGAAAATTCCCATATACTAAACACAAATTCATACTTTTAAATGGGTTAAAAATTAGTTTTGGTCCCTGTACTTTTATTGAAGTAAATTTTGATCATGAACTTTAATTTGTAATGTGATTTAGTTAATATATTTTCAAATTGGTAACAATTTAATCCGTGAACTTTAGTACATTAATATTTAGTCTATATAGTTTAAAGTTCATAACAAGTTAGCCCCTAGTTTCCATGAAACGATTTAATTTATGTAATTTACAAATACACATATTCCACCTCTCATTAGTTTATCAATTTACATATATAAGAACCTCTATTGCATATGTCTTATTATCATTTTTCACGATAAAGACTAAATCGTTACAAACTTTAAACTATAGCTAGAGACTAAATTATTTCATATATTAAAGTTTATTGACTAAATAGTTACCAATTTGAATATACAAAGAATAAATTGTTACGAACAAAGTTTAGAAATTAAATCATCAATGAAAGTATAGATCAGACCAAAAGTATCTCTAAACCTTTTAAATTTTGGACGGTATACGAACTCAATTTATGGGGGACAGTGCCCAAATAGGCTTTATGGGTCCATTGATAATATGGGTAAATGAAAATTGTAAGGTTATGATATCAGAACTCAAGATTAATAATTGGAGGGGAATCATATTTTGGGGTTGTACAAAAAATTTGCTTCACATTCTGATTTTGATTTTGAAAGCTTCTAATTGTGGAAAAAGGCAACTGTGGGAGAGTTGACCTGATGATCGTAATCAAGAGTTGGGATGGGAGATCCATTTTGAGCCGTTCGATTGCTTCCTCTGCCCGGTGGAGAAAGGAAATAAACTTGTCACCATTATTTATGATTCAACAACCTTAGAAAAAATTTGAAAAATGAGCCTAAGTTTTGGTTGAATTTTTGGCTCCACGTGATTAAAATTCATTCCGATTGAGCTGTATTTAGGTTGGTGAAAATAATCGTCGATATTTGATGAATTAGAAAGTGATTCTTTTGAGAGCTTTTGAGATGGGGATCGTGTGAAATGAATGGACTTCTCATTGGATTGAGAATGATTTCACTCGATATACGTTAGAAGTAAACTTTATTTTTGAGTAGGTATATTTAATATTAAGAACCATAATATATACAAATACAATTTTAACAAAAAAATAAAAAAAATAGTAAACGTAGGTGTCAATTATCAACCTGAGCTTAGTTCAACTTGTTAAGACACTCATCTCCGACCAAAAGATCGTGAGTTCAAATCTCCACTCCTATAATGTAGTTTTGTTCAAAGTCAAATTTGTTATAGCAGCCTAATTATTTCAAACAAGCTTCCAAATTATTACCGCCCTTCAAAATATTAAAGTATGTTTACTCACTCTTTTGGTTAGATCCCATTTTTTAACCTTGAGATCATTAACGCATAAGTTCGAATTAAATTATAAGGTTTCATATCTGTAAATTCACGCAAAGTATTTTCATTTGGTTTACCAAATCTGAAAGTAGAAAGTAGAATATGGAAGGTTTAAGCACCAAATATTATTGGAAGAGTTTCCCAATTAGGGCTATTTCCCTTATTTCCCTCTTACAAGGACACAAACCTACCCTCCATTGAAACCTTGCTTCCCCTTAAATATAGCCCTTTCCAAATTTACACAAAAATGGTGGCCGCCAAATTTCTTATAAACCTCCCCCTCTTCCTCCTCTCTTCCCTAACTTTAACTTCTTCCTCGACGACGCCTTTCGTTCGGGAGAGGCCTCCGACCACCACCCCTTCTCGCTTCGCTCACAAATCGTGTATGGACTCGAAACCACAAACCGTCTTCGCCATCGAACCCACCTCCGACCTAAGCGAGGCCAAAAACAACACCAACGGTGCAGGACAGATCTTCAAGGTTGCGTTTTTCATGCTCCGCCGTCGCCAGTCGAAGAAATCCAAGGTATCCGTCGACATGGGCCCCGATAAGGGCATGTGGCGGCGGTTGTTGGGCTCCATGCGTCCTCTCCACATCCATGACAATGAAGAATCGGCTCCCGTTGCAACTGTCGAATCTGTCACTCCTTCGACGAAATCCAAGGAGGATTTCGAGGACGCGTTGCCGATGGCATTGCCTTCGCCATCACCATTGTCGTCGTCTTCTCCTACATCGAGGTCGTCTTCTTTCAACACAAGCCACTACGTCTCCGCTGCCAACCTTCAAGACCTTGATGACATTGGCAACGACGATAATGACGACCAACGCTCCACCAGAGACGACGGCGAAGGCGACGAGATGATCGACGCTAAGGCGGAGGAGTTCATTGCGCAATTCTACGAGCAGATGAGGCGTCAACGTTACGACATCTATTGAAATGAAGACGAACAAGAAGCCTTTCTGTTAATCAAATGTCTCTGCATGGGGTTGCATGGATCTTTACAGACTCAATTACTGCGTTTTATGATATTATATTTTGATTTTCGTTTCGAGTCAAAGAGCTTAGGGTTTCAGATAGAAGTTATTTTTCATCATTCTGAAAAGTGAGAACAGATGATAAAATATTAAAAAAAAGAAAAAAAAACTTAATTTTTTTTTGGGTTAAATTAATTAATTTGGTTAGTTTTGCTTAATTTTGAGAGATATGTGGAAGTTGCTGGTTCAAATATTGTAATTTTGAGCCCTGATTTGTAATGTGTGACTTTTGTATTTCAAAAGAATTTCGAAATTTTTAATAATTGATTATCTAGAATTAAATTTCATAACATTAATTGGACCCTAATTTGATAGCTATTTCGTCTATTTTGTTTTTTATTTTTAAAAATTAAGGCATAGAGACTACTTTCACCTGTGTTTTACATTGTTTTGTTATATAATTTATAAACATTTTCAAAATTCAGTCCAAAAGAGAAAATAGTTTTCAAAAAGTAATTTTGGGTGTGTTTGGGAATAATGATAGAATGAGCGATTTTGAAAGAAGAGATTTTAGGCTGCGTTTAGAAGTGGTTTTGACATGGTTAAAATCACTTTCCTTTTCATTGATTATGTTTGGCAAATTAGAAAATTAATTTTAGAAAAACTTAAATTACTTTAAATTGATTTTTAAGATATCATTTGGATGGTGGTTTTGGAAAATCAATTATACTTGAATCTATTTTTTCAAAATCACTAGTTTCTACCATCACTCCCAAACATATAATTGATTTTTTAAAATTACCATTCAAGTGATACCTTAAAAATCAAAGTAAAGTGATTTAAACTTTTCTAAAATCAATTTTTTAATTTGTCTAACATGATTAATGAAAAGAGAAGTGATTTTGACGAACCAAAATCACTCCCAAACACACCTAAGAAAATCCAAAATATGCTTTGATCAAGTATGATTATTTTTTAAAATATAATTAAACTAAAAACGAAATAGTTATCAAACCCGACATTAGCTAATTTGATTGTTGACTTCAATATTATTAAATTTTTTTTTTGGCGTGTTTGAGTTGTAATGCTCCTAAAAAGATTATTAATTAACAATTTTTTAAAGTCAATTAAGATTAATGGAAAAATATCGGGTTATTTATTCTCAATTCTTTTTTTTTTCATATTTCTAACTATATTTCGAGTTACTATTATTTTTCTGTAATATCGGACTTTATTATTCTATATACTTGGAATATTGACTCCAGAAAAATAAAAAGAAAAGGACTGAAGTATAACTCAATTCATGACCAAAAAGTCTTGAGTTCCAAATCTCCCCATTCCATATATTAGTATTTATTGTTTTCATAAAATAATAATGAAAAGAAAAGTGGGCCAAAAGAGGAACATGTTGCAAAGATAACAAGGACATGGGCTTGCCAATGTCAAAGGCAAATTGAGACCACTTTTTTTTTTTTTTTTTGGTTCTTTCCATTTCATGATTGGTATTGTTGTAGTTTTGATGATTAATGTCCATCCACTTAAATAAAGAGGGAAGACTTGAATCTATGATTTCTTACTAATATCTTATTCTTTTAGTACAACAAAGTTAAAATATGTTGAATTTGAATTTTAACTTGGAGAAAAGCAAATGTTGTTTATTGTTGAACTATGCTCTATATTAAGCATTTGAACTGTATTTAAGTAGACCATTAGAAGTCTATACATAATATACATGTTTTTTTTATTTACTTTTATTTTTCAACAAATTGCTTTATGATGTGCCATTTACTTATCTTGGATAAACGCCATTGGGCTAAGGCTTTGTTTTAGTACATATTGGGCTCAGGCTTAGCTATGCCTATAACTTTATATTTACTAAAATATACAAAATTTAATATTGTTATGGGTAGGAAAAAGAGGAATTCGAATTGTCCTAGTTTCACCCAAACTTCATCTTGGTCATGGATAGATCACCCAAATTCGAGTCCATCTAAAGAATTCAAATTATCTTAGAAATATTTTCCTTATCTAAGGAATTAAATAGAGAAAATATTCTATTGATCTCCTAAGTTTTCCCCTTTATAAATAAAGGGTAAAAACTCATCATCAAAGTACTGCTCCAAATCCCTACTTCTTGGTGTGGTTCACATAAACTTGATTTTGATTTCAGTATCAAAGTGTGTATGGCTAGCACTACACAGGTGTGTAATTTTTGTATTTTGCAAGTTTTTGTTGAATCTCTTTTATTCTAGAAGAGTGGTGCAAGCTTGATAATTGTGATAAGCAAAATTTATGATAAACAAATATTACTTTTATAATTTATATGAGCATTTAGATAAATCCTTAGGAATGCCCTTCTAATCTTCTTTAGGAGAAAAAAAAAAAATTCTAATCTTGAATTACTTAGAAATACTTATTAATTAAGTGAAAGGTTAATACAAAATAAAATTTTAAAGAATTTATGTCATTCTCAATAGTTAATATCTCAATATTGCATAGGCAATATATACTCAATATAATATGACTCAGAAAAAATAAGACATAAACTTCCATTAAAAACATAATAATATACTACCTTTTTTTTTCAAAATTTTACATTAAAAAAAATAGTAAATAACATATCAACTTAGCATTGCACAACTTCTAGAAGGATTAAAAGTGCCTTTTAAGGTATTAATTAAAAGCACCTTTAAAAAATTTCCCAACATTTTATTCAGATAATCCAAAAGAAAATTTTAAAAACAATAAAAGACAATTAAAAGGTGAGTTTGGTTGTACTAAAAAAAAAGGTGAGTTTGAGATAGTTCTGAAAAATGGTTGAATCGTTCATTTATCAAGGAATTTGGAAGAAAATTAATTTAATTTATTATCTAAAATTTCAACAAAATACAATTTTCATAAGCATTCACTTTAAAAGCATGCGAAAGCAAACATGTAATTGACCTCCAATCAATGTACTGTGAGTTCGAACCCCCTCCCTATCATGTACTAAGAAAAAAGTATCCCAAGAACATACTCTTAGGAATATTTATTTTCTCCATAGAATCATGCCCTAAAATAAGGTGGAAAATTCCTGTTTAAGCTTCTATGGAGTATCACCACTGCATCTTTTATATATATATATATATATAATATTAAGTGTTTTTATTGTATCAGTATAAACTTTCCCTTTAAATGAGGAGAATTTAACAATGTATTAAACCTTTAATGAGGGCGATTTAAAATGACATAGCAGCTCAAAATTTGAAAAATCATCGCAAAAAACTTTGGGCAAATTGAAAACTTGTCCTAATGGATGCCTCAAATTTTCAATTGTAAAAATTAAACCCTTTTAAAAAATTATACTCTTAAACCATCCATTTTAAAAAATTAAATTTATTTTAAAAAATTGTATACCTAGGAGTGAGTGAGTAGTTTGTGCAATTTGTCCCGAGCACTTTCGAGTAATTTTAAAAGAAAACGAAAGGAAAGAACACTGAAATTAGATTTGAAACTAAAATTTAAGCTCTAATTTAAGGGTAGCTAGAATCTAATTAATTCACATTGATCTTTAATTAACCAGACGACGGTGAAAGTTTAAGATGAAGATCAACAACCCCCACATGATCTGACGATCCCTTTTCACCCGAATTCCCAAATATCCACCGCCCCGAAGACGCCGACACGCTGCCGTACGCCGCCGCAAAGTAGCCGTTACTGATCCGGGGCAGAAATCTAGAAGAAGCACCAACCCCGCCGCCGCCGCCGACGACGTCAATGTTGGGCGCGAACACTCTGGAGTAAAGCGGCTGCGGCGGAGGCGGCGGAGACGGCGGCGATCGGAGTGCGTGGGCGGTGTGGAAATAGAGGGCGCGCTTGGCCCTTTGGCGCTCTCTCTTGTGGGCATTCTGGTGGCCGCCGAGGGCCTGGGAGTTGGCGAAAACGCGGCGGCAGAATTGGCACCGGAATTTCCTGTCGTCGTCGGAGTTGGTGCCGTCGGATCTCTCCGGCTTAACGTCGTCGTGATCCACCAACGGAAACCCGAATAGCTTTAGAATGGAGGAGGGATTTTGATTGGACATTTTGATTGTTTTTTTCTTTTTTCTTTGGTTGCTCTTTTTTCAGCTTCATCTTCTTTGTTTCGTTTCTATTCTATTTTATAGCCAAAATCTTTAGGTTGTTCAGAGACGGGATTCGAATCTATCTGCACTCAGATATATGTACCTTAATCAATTACGTTCAGGTTTTGTTTTTGTTTAAAAAATTTAAATTTAAACACTTACATTATTATATTTTTGAATTATATTATATCGTTACTAGAGAATTTTTTTTTTTTGAAGATTTAGTTAGTGGAGATTAAATATGAAAAAATACTTGTTGTCTATTGAGAATTTGACAATTCACTATCTTTTATAAAAGATATTTGTTTTTTGTATTTCTCTTTTGATTTTTCAATATTTAATAATAGTAAATATAACATTCGTCGCGATCAGAAAGTTTTCCCCACCATAGTTAGTGAGTGAGGTAAATTTTTAATTCCTCAAAATTTGAACTCTTTTGATGGAATATAGTAAAACTCATAAAACAATGAAATACTATAATTTCTTTATTATAGATCAAGCTTCTTCCAAGATAATTGGAAAAGAGTATAATTTGAAAAATATTAAAACATTAAAAAATCAACCAAATTAAAGCATTTTAAATAACATAGATTAAATTGAAAAGAAAAAACGTCCCAATGTTATGGACTTTTAATTAAAAAAAGAATTCTCAATATTAGTTTAAGATGGGGATTCTTGAGGAGGGGCCATAAACTCCACAAAATTGATACTTGGATTTTTCAGCCACACTTCCACAAAATTGATAATGATATTTTCAACTACAGTTAGTCCACAAAATTGATACTTCGATATTTTTGTAGATATCGATATTAAAATTCTTGCTGTCAAGTCAACCTCTACCACTATTTTCTTTTTTGAAGGACAAGCTTAGTACATAGAGTAAATGGGGGGCCATAAGCTCAGACCATTTATTCATGGTATGGAGACCGAGCAAAGTTCATTAGATCAAATCTACTTGTCATTATGGGAGTATTATGGGAGTGTATGAGGGTTCATCTCGTAAAATTAATTTATACAAAATATATTTGGTTTCTTTAATTCATTTCCGTTTTGTAATCATAAATTTAGATGTTACAAGGATGATAATAATAATTAATAAAATAGTTGAGCAATTTTTTTTCTTCTTTTTGGGGTAGGTAGATTGATAGGAGCAATTTTGTGGGTATTTATTTATTTATTGTTTAAAATTTGGACGGTGAAATTTAGAAAGAAGAGCAAAGGGGAGAAAATTTTATAGTCAAATTTATTGTTTTACTGTGAAGGTTAAGAAGTTGAAGATTTACTAATACCATACAAATTAGGGCTTTCAGCGACGAAAAAACGTCATTGAAAGCCATTTTGCGTTGCTGAAAATTATTAGGGACGAAAAATAATTCGTCGTAGAAACACGGTCGCTGAAGCTTTTAAGCAACGCAAAGTGAGATCGTCGCATGTTAAGCGACATAATGTTGATTTTGTTGATTTCATCACTCATGCGACGTCTCCAATAATTTCGCAAAGGAGAGGAGAAAAGGAGCAGAAATTTCGATGCTACCCCTAGCGGCCAAACACAACCAGAGAGAACATAGAAAGGGAAGAGGGAATCACGTAGGAGAGGAAGTAGAACATTTAGTAAGGGGGATAGCGACGAAGCATTTCGTCGCTAGCCCAAAACGCGGTCATTTTATTTACCTTATGTGACGAAAAATCTTTTCGTCGCTAGCATATGCGACGAAAATTTTATCGCTGAAGGCTACAATTCTTGTAGTGAAAATAATTAATAAAGTCACACATTCTCTTATAATCGAAGAACATTTTATTTTTCTATTTTCTCTCGTCTCAAACTCGAAAATCAAAGTGGTCTCCACCCTTGAATTTTCCATATTTTGTCATTTTGAAAATTTATATAAAGTATTATTCATACGGATAGAAAGAAAATAAATAAAAACACAACATCTTGGGTCAAATATTAGATTCCATATAATAAAATACGACACATTGACTATGGTCAAACATGTTGTCTGGAGAGATTTTCTTTTCTTGTTTTATTCAAAGTACTATATTTTTAATATAATATGTTTAAGATCAGTAACACTAATGTTTTAAAGGTTGGAGTTTCAATTTTATAGAAAACATATGGAAGGAAATAATATAGAGCGACTGTATCTTTATAATAAGTTCGGAAAAGTAAAATTTTTTATCTTTAAAACAAAAAACCTAGTCAAAAGTTTCTTTTCTTCCTAAGGTTAATAGTAAAAAACAAAAGTGAAGCAAAAGCTGTGGGTGGTGTCGGGTCAATGAATCCAATGTTTTAACCCTAGAGGTTTGTGATGCAGTTACTTTATTATTTTTTTGTTTACAGGACAACTATAGTACACGATAAATGGGACCATAAGCGCAGATCATTTATTATTAAAGTGGGGGAGCTGTTCACATTCATTTGAAAATCATAACCGCTGACATATGAATTCGAGATATTTTTGTGTTTTATCTCTCCTAAATCTAATTGGGTAAAATTACCAGCCACATTATGACAGCCTTCTGATTTACATAAATTAAAATTGGGGGAAAAAAATCAAAATTTGGTACAGCGACTATAGAGATTGAAGATCGAATATCCGACTTTAAAGAAAAGAGTAAAGATATTTTAATGATTGAGCTAGACTCATGTTAATAAAATATAGTCATGTAAAACTTTTTATAGTGACAAATCACCAACAACTGTTATAGCTATCTTCTATATTTGAGAATTTATTCTAATCAGGATCTAACAAATTTTTTTTTTATACGAAGCAAGATCATAATCGTCAAATAAGCTTTACTAAATCATAATGCGAAGATTATAATAAAATCTCTTAATGCTCTACATAAGTTCTCTAGGTATACCACAATAACAATGGTTACCTGACACTCTAAGAAATCATAACAATGAGTGTCGTCTAAACTCTCTCTTTATGTCGTATATCTCTCTCCCACACTCTAAAGAAAACTTTCAAGCTCTCTCCTCACCCAACTCATTTCTCAATGGCTCGTACTAAAGAAAGAGAAAACCTAATTTAAATAGGAAACACTTATAACTTTATTGGTTGTGTTGCGCAAATTAGTGTCACGATGCTCTAAATTGAAAAACAGTATTTGCTCCCTTTGTTTATTTCTTCAAATCGGAATTAAGAAACAGTCTTTCAACGATTCTTCTCGATGATTTGGGCTCCACAAAACTCACTAGTCTTCCTCATTCAAAATCTCTTTATATGATAAGATAGTTGTACAATTGATGTGACCTTTTGTGGACTACAAATTGTATAAGAATCTCTTCATGCTATTTTTTCTCAGTTCCACTATAAAATTAGTACTTCATATCTTATGTGATTTATTTCATACTAATCGAAGGGGAGCTGCATATAATATAATTATCATATTATATATATGTATTTTAATTATATGACCTAGAATTGTAAACTTCTACTCTTCTCGAGTTTAGATTGGTTAGGATAAAAAAAAATATAGGCATAAAATTATATTAAAATTTAGAACTTCGTCTCAATATGTGTTGATTTATCATCCCTAATTTAGCACCCCAAACCTCACTTTAATCATTTTAAGCACGAAAAAATTTGCGGTTGAAACCGACTTGTATAGAATGTCAAGCTAGTGGGATCTTTTGGTACATAGCCTTAGAAAAGTTAAAAAGAAAAAGAAAAATGGATAGTGGCAGCAGACCCACTTTTTTGTCTGTGTTTTATTTCTTTTAATAAAGAAAAATAGAATTGCATGCCATGAACATCTATGGATTCAAAAATGATAAAACTATATTTTTATTTATGTTTTTGGAATAAATTAGAAATATGAACTAGAAACAAGAAACTTGTTTTCGTTGTTTCCAAAATTTTGGGAATATTTGTAATAAAAAGAGAGGGAGAGAAACAAGGAACATAATAGTTGTCAAATACGCGCTTAGGTTTTGTTTGATCAAGAAATTGACAAAGTCCACGAAGGTTGATCGATAACGACTTGACTTCTTCAATGAGCTGAACTGAAAGCAAGTGAGGAATTTGTAAAATAGAATTAGCACTCTGATGCTCAAGTCAATGGTTGATCGATTTAAACCGGGAGAGAATATAGTTTTGCGTACTTGAAAATGAGGTGGGAGATCTGATCTATTTATAGGTCGGGCTTTCGTTAGGACCTTCGACAGGCTTCCAATGACTCTCTGACAATCCCGAGAATTGTGACGTGGTGTCGTGGATTCTGTTAGAGCTTTGCTCCTGCTGAAGCTAGTATGTGTTGGCTCGTCAAATAACTCAAGCAACCATGGTATGAGTTGTTGGTCAAGTCGGCTGATATCTTAGGTGGCCAAGGAATAAGACTAATATTAGCTAGACATGAAACATGAGTCTCGACCGTCTCTGGTAGTTCAGTTCTCACTATGCTAGTTCAGCTAAGCCTCTTCAGAGGTCTGAACTGTCGTTTCTTTCGTGTGTGAATCACTATGTTGACTCATTACTATCGAGTTATTGAATGTCGACACGTGGTTAGTTATGAGAAATCACCTCCATCAGATATCTTAACAAAATTGAAAGCGAAGAAAAAAAAAACTGTAACATTGCCAAATTAACCAGCCCTTATTTTAAAAAAATGCAGTGGGGGAGGAGCTAAATTCTCCAATAATATGCATATCAAAGAGGGGATCGACAAAGATCTAAATCAAGATACTTCTAAGATATGTTTCACCAAAATTTGAGGTTTCAAAACGACGACGGATGGGATCGACTCTTATTCCGCCATTGCCCGAATGACATTTTATTTTATGTTTGCATTAATATTTGCCAAAAGCCTTTTCTTTTTAAATTCTTTTTTTTTTTTTTGCATATTTTGTAGAACAATGCAATGTATTGTATCATAATTAATTTGTAAGCAATCAAATATCGCTTTCAAAGGAAGCATCAATCTGTATGTACTTTTGTAAATTTAATAATTTGTAC